AAACTTTAGATTTTTCAATTGAAAAATATGTAGATTAATATGGTATAAAAAAATTCATACCTTATAATTCAAAAATTTTTCATCCTTAATTTAATTAAATAATAAAAAATAATTAACAATTATTAAAAATTATTTTTTTCGTGAAATTATCTTTGGGTAAATGAGTTTTATGACTGGGTGAAATTTTCTTCGAATTGCTTTATTAGTTTTTAAAATATGACTAAAAACGTAAAAAGTGAAATTAACATTAAGGAGTACGAACTTTGGATCGCTCTCCTGACCAAACTATGGGGACCATATTTCCCAGCTTGCGGCTACCCCCTATATTTTGAAGGTTAAGAATTGAAATCTTTGTGTAAGAATATAGAATGTGTCACTTAAGAGAATTGATACTTGACGGGCTTGGCTTACTCGAAATATAATGGAATGAACAGTTGCTAACGTAAACAAATGCCCCGTTTCAATAGCCAATCAGGAACGAGATACCCACACTACGTCACTTCCAGGTATCCCATTATTACCTTAACAAGAATTACTACCTTGTTGTGAATGTAATTTCTTCGAAATTTAATTCAATTAAAATTAATTTGCAAGAGAAACTTAAAATCGCTAAGCGGATGAAAAGGAAACGTCAAAACAATATAGTACAGTAATATATCGTGAAATGCAAAATATTTAAGCTCATAAAATACATTGCTTAACTTTTTGCAGAAGATAAAATCAGCTGTTTGAAAATAATCACCTCGAACAATAAGCTACAATAAGCAGTAATCAACTTTCTAACTAGAATCAGTAAAGGTGAAAATAAGGGCAAAGAAATCTAGTTTATGATTATATGACTGGCGGCAAATGTCATAACAAAAAAAAAAAAAAAAAAAAAAAAAAAAAAAAAAAAAAAACAGGAATTTTGCAGTTCGCTTCTCTGACGCTATAGTAGTATGCTTATTTCGGATTTGTTTGTTTTTGAAAGATAAAATTGAAACAATCTTAAATATTTTTAAATAGTTTTTCACTTAATTTAATTCTCAAAGTGAAAACGATAAAGTTTACTCATCATTTGAATGAAATAAAATAAGAAGTTGGCGTTAAAAAAAAAACCATTCAGGAACAGTGATCTGCATAACATAAGCTTT